TTCGAGCCTTCAGTTTGCTCAGTGAGCCAACAAATTCCACCTCCCCATTCAAATCTGATCGTGACTATCGTTGAAAGTCACGAATGCAATTTATTTTTAAATGCGAGCTCATTTTAGAAGGATCATTTGAACTGGATGTCACTCCAGAGACTGACTGACTTTGTAAACACAGGAAGTGAACTCGGAATATACACATGTCTGGTGTTACATGAATGATTAGAAAGGAAATTAATTTTTAGCTTTATAATGAGTCAAAGATGACTTGGGGTGATGTCATTAGTCTTTTTTTCATTCATTCCCATCCACCATATACAGCAAGGATGTTCTCATTCTTCTCAACAGTTGAAGTCAGAATTATTAGCCCCTCTGTTTTTTTATTTATTTTTTCAATTTCTGTTTAACGGAGATATTTTTTTAAACACATTTCTAAACATAATAGTTTTAATAACTCATTTCTAATAACTGATTTATTTTATATTTGCCGAGATGACAGTAAATAATATTTTACTAGATATTTTTCAAGATACTTCTATACAGCTTAAAGTGACATTTAAAGGCTTAACTAGGTGAGGTTAACTAGGCAGGTTAGGGTAGTTAGGCAAGTTATTGTACTGTATAACAGTGGTTTGTTCTGTAGACTTTCGAAAAAATTGCTTAAAGAGGGTAACAACTTTGCCTTTAAAATGGTGTTTTAAAAAATCTGAAACTGCTTTTATTGTAGCCGAAATGAAATAAATAAGACTTTCTTCAAAAGAAAAAATATTAACAGACATACTGTGAAAATTTCCTTGCTCTGTTAAACATCATATGGGATATATTTAAAAAAATAATAATAATAAAATAAAAGGGGGGCTAATAATTCTGACTTCAACTGTAAATGCTTATGCAAGTTACAAAATATTATGAGTTTATATCAGTTTTCCTGCTCTAAAAATCTTAATTTTAATAAATTTGATTAGATTTATTTATTTAGAATAGAATAGGATACACTTAACACGTTTTTTAAACCATTACCATAACATAGTACCACTACTTGACTAAAATGTAGTGCAAGTACAGTAAAAGTATCTGTGCAAAAATTACTCAAAGTAGAGTAAAAAGTAGACCTTTCAAAAGTAGTGAGTATTATGCAGTAAATGTGTGTAAATGTAAATGTAAAATTAAACGTTAATGTGTGTAAATGTAAAATTCTGTAGTGCATTTAGTTATTGCTCAGCAGGCACACAACGTCATAAGACACTTATATCAGGTTAGATTTAGGTTGTCATGTCAGGTGACCAAAATTAAACGTCTAGTCAGCGTCTAAGCACAATGTTATTTTAATGTCCAATAATGGCGTGAAATGATATTGATATTTGGATATTTAGCATTTTAGTGTTGCAAAGTGACCAAAATCCAACGTCGAGCCAACATCTAACACCAACGTCATATTGATGCCAATTACTGACATTTATTTGTTAGGTATGGCAACCAAAATCCAACAAAACATTGATTCAGTTCCAAGAAAATACATGCACTTATAAAATAATGAAGAAAAAAAAACTAACTGAATGTACTGGGCTTTGGACAAAAACATCCGCCAGTTGCATTTACTATAAATATTTCTTCCCTGAAACTAAAGCCAAGACTTTGGCATTAATCTAGCTCTGTTGCCTGTTGATGTTTTGGGGCTGTTTTATTGTCAGCCACTTCTCAAGCTCCATGATATAGGGACCGTGCACAGCTGGCGAATTTGGATTGATTAAAACTCTGTTGCAACCGCTCTGTTAGTGCAAGTCATTTGAATAAGAGTAAACAACGCAATTCCAACAAGCAGACCAAGACCACTTAAACAGGTTTCAGTCCATTTAGATTTGATTTGGTCTGTGCTGTGTTCGCAGTTCAACTGAAAAGCGAACACAACAAAGACTAAAGACAGCTAAAACCAAAAACAGAACATGATGTCAGAACACAAAACAACAGAACATAAAACAGAATGCTCAATAATCCCCTTTTTACCATAGTCACAACGACTACGTTTACATGGACACCTATAATCCAATTTTAATATGATTAAGACAATACTCTGATTAAGAGTTTACCACGTAACAGCAATTTTTAATTATTTTAATCTGATTAAGGTCATAATCGAACTAAACAGAAATGGAATTAAGACATGTGGAGTATGCCAATTTTAATCATATTATTGGAGTGCAGTACAGACATGTAAACACTGCAATCAAACAATTACCATCTTGTAGGATTTTTGCCGCATTTTGTGACAGGACAGTCTATACACACACAGCTGTTTGACACTATTCTCTGTACCTACCAAGTCAGAGAAAGACCACAGATACATACATTGTGAAATGCAAAGGTTTTTTTCCCATATGGGGTGCTGTATCAAATTTAGATAAAACAACACTCTTTAAGCAGTTCCTCGCATCCAATACCTCATTTATCATGGGGGGCGAAAGTATTTCCTGAACGAAAGTAAAAAATACCTAACTGCAGTTAAAGTTGACAAATTAAAAATGAAACACCAAAAATTACATGAAACTCCAAAAGAAATTTGTATAGCATAGTGACGAAATTACGCTAATCGAATTATGTGCTATAACATTTAAAACAGGATTATATAAAGGAACATTCAAAAAGCAACTCGTGTAAACACCTTACTCATATTATTGTCTTATTCAGATTAAGGCAAATCATGCGATTTCAAATGTCCATGTAAACGTAGTCAATGATGAAGTTCATATGATAAGTGCCAAAGTTAAATACTCATAATTATGAGCATACATAGATATATACACTAGAAATCGCATAGGGACCTTGAGCATGCGTCAATAGCGCTGCCATATTTGTACAGTGCTCCCAGGACAAGTGTCATTCAACCGCACTAGTCAAGACAGTGTTATTACATGAAGATGCTGGACTTTAGTGCAAAGAAAACAAAGCACAAAGGGAAAACGTTTTATAGGTAAGATTACGTTTTTTACGTTTTTGTGTGTTCTGAACTTTTGTGCTAAAAAGGTAACATTATTGATGATAATAGTCACTTACTGCATTCACCATAAGAAAAAAAGTAGCAACAACTCACACTAAACACTCGGCTTACGCAAGTTTTGTTGAATAAAATCAGCAAACAATGCAAAAGAAATATGCTGCGGTGCCAGAAACTTGTATTATTGCCTGCTAAATAAGCGAGTCGTTCATAATGGAGATTCATTCACAAACGAATCACTTCCCCCCTCAGTCAGAAAAGTGAAAGCAGGAAAGGAGGTGTATTTCAGCACATGATTAGATCAAATTTTACAGGGAGGGTGGATGGTACATTTCCATACACACAAACACAAGCTTTTTGTCAGGAATGCCTGTGCGATCACTTATCCATCGATGTAGAAAGTGATTAAATTAAATTTAAATTTTCGAACAATCCTCCACTGCAGCTTGGTCCCACATTCATTTCTAAGGAGCGCTACCCTGTACTAAAATGGCGGCTCTATTGACGCATTCCTAGACAACAACAGAGTAGGCGACATCTAATGTATATATCTTTGATGGGCAAAGAGCAAACACTTTACAGAAATCAATCATTGTACTATACCAAGAAAGTCTTCATAAGCACCTCATTAAGGGCATACAAGATAACGCTTCTTCTGCTACACAATCAAGAAGTGTTAATAGCAATGTGTGCTTTAGCGAGCACAATCATGGCTGTGCTTCCGATAATGGATCACTTGTGAGATTTAACCTCACACTGATGTTTACTCAAGATTAGAAGCTGTAGTGTGCCCCACGAATACACAGAAAGTACACTGCTAGCTGGCCGGCAGCGAGCTCTCTGCAACTCTCACATGGTCCCCCACTGAAGCTAAGCAGGGCTGCACCCGGTCAATACCTGGATGAGAGACCACAAGGGAAAGCTTGGTTGCTGGCGGAAGTGGTGTTAGTGACACCAGCAGCGGGCGCTCAACCTGCGGTCTCTGTGGGTCCTAATGCCCCAGTATAGTGAAGGGGACTCTATACTGCTCAGTGAACGCTGCCTTATGGCTGAGACGAGACATTAATCAGCTGGTGTGTGGTGTGTGGTCTGGCACAATATGGCCCCACCAAAATGTAAAGCGATTTGATTATCTAGAAAAGCGCTATATAAATGTAAGGAATTATTATTATTATTATTAGTATTATTATTACACATACAATGTCACTATCATTATTCGAGCAAGACTGATACAAAATAAAAATAAAATGAAGCAGGTCAGGATACTCCAGCATAACAACCAATATTTTCACAGCACCACATATCCATAATCACACGTCAATCAACATAAAAAATGGCTTTCTTAAAGTTGTCTCCGCAAATTAATCTAGAACCGGAGAAAATGTCAGAAAAATAACACACTTTAGCTTTAACGTTCCAAATTTAGCCTCTAATTACACAAAAAAAAGCAATATACACCAAGAAGCACCATTGGCATGCTGGCGATCAGGCCAGACTGAGGTGTGACGTGCTGTCAGATTTTTCATGCCCTCCAGCTCTTCCATCTGAAAATTACACCGTCCACGTTTCACCGTCTCCTCCGTTGCCATGGCAATCTGCCGTCACCACGCTCGTGTGCACGTCACATGACACTCAGATGCACTCTATCTCTTTGACTGCTGGGTCTAAATTTAAACTCACGTGTGTGAGTGTGACCAGAGCCATTAATACACTGGAATACCCTCTCATTCTCATTGTATATTCATACAGCTTTCATTTCATAAAGTAAGACCACTAAACTTTGTTTTCCTGAGGGTTGATTGTAATTGTTTGTTTCAATGTGCATGCCTGTCTCCTGTCTCTGAAGTATTGCGTAGGTCACTCATTCTTTATGTAATCATTCCCAACCCTCAGAGTGATAGGATCGGAATGCTGGGAAGTTTTAGAAGTGAGAAGGAGGCCTATGGCTGGATTTTTTTTGGGGTTGTGGTCAGGGGGAGGTGGTAGAAAGAGAAAAGCATTTGAAAAAGCTCACCTCAAGGTCATCAAGTGAGCGAGCCATGCTAAGACGCTTGGAACGTCCAAAAGATCGTCGGCCAGAGGAACGCTGAGGAAAGCCCATAGTGATCCCTTTGAACCTTCCACCCTATGTGGGGAAAAACAGGAAAGAAATTAGCAAACTAAACAGAACCATTTTAACCATTGGAGTTTTTACAATGTAGGTGGTAAAATACAACAACTACTACTACTACTAACGCAAGGCGTATTACATGTCAAAATTTACCAAGTCTCATTGCATCACAAGACTGTACACACACACAAATACGCTGAAAATAAAAGGTCTGTGAATGATATTCAGAGTTTAAACATTTTCTATACACATATAAACACTACTTTCTATTTCATTTTGCACATAATATAGCTGTACATACAATATTGTCTACGGCAGTAATTATCAAACTTTTTACACCAAGTACAACCTCAGAAAAAAAATTTTCTCTTCAAGTACCACCACAATGAACAGCATTGAAATACAATAGCGTATTAGGTCTAATTAATCAGTTACAGCTCTGCACAGTTAAAAAACGAGCCAGATTTATTCCTAATAAGATAATTTATTATTGTCAGCCACTTTAAATATTCTTATACATTCTATAAATATAAACTTATAAATATTCTTGTCAGCCACTTCAAACATTATAAATAGTTTGTATGTGCTTACAGGTTAAATAAGCCTAAATGTTTAAATTAAAATGTTTAAAAGCACATTTTCATATTACACATTTTTAATATGTAAGCACATTACAGTGTTAATGTTCAAACTATTTATAATGTTTAAAGTGGCTGACAAGAATATATTTATTATTACATTTACCATATAATTTTGGTAATTTATTACTGCTTATTACATGCCTATTATTAAGATATTAACTGTTTATTAGCACTTATAAAGTGTGATCCTATTTTACATCCCTAATCCTACCCAATACCTAAACCCAACTACCACCTTACCATTAATAAGCAGCCAAATAGTAGTTTATTAAGTTAAAAGTCTTAGTTAATGATTTGTTAATGACATGAATTGTGCATTAAAATAAAGTGACCATCGTTTTTTTTTATGAGTAAAATTAATAATGCAAATGTTCATATAATCTACCACTTTTACAGATAATGATTCTCTTGTAAGATCATTCATCAAACCTCTTCATTAGTTCTGCTAAACACATGTAAAAGTCTCTGGAGGTCAGGCTGAATTCCAGCTTATAATGGTATCACAGTGTCTATCTACCAAAACGGTCTCTTGAGGAATACAAGTGATGAGAGCTTTGTCTGCTTCTCTATACTCTTGAAAAGGACCACAACGTTTGTTTGAAATGCTCTGACTGTTTGATTTCATTATAGGGGGATGTTTGGTGAAAGCAAAGGATCACATGAATAGACAAAGAGTTTTCTCACTCCCTTGGGGAAAAGAGCGTTTGGGTGTGTGTGTAAAAATTAATCATGTGAAGGTTTATCTTCTGATGTACCTTTTGTTTCTAAAGTGGTTATAAAGGACGGTTTCCTAAGGTTATTAATATTTAAATTTAGCAACACAGCATTTTCTAATAAAACAAAAAAGTAAACGTAAAGTAAAAGTAAAAGTAATGCAATTATTTGTCCCAATAGATTTTTAATCTTCACTTTAATTTTTTATTCCTAAATGTTTGCAGGATTTTTTTGCTCATTTTACTATGTACACTAACAAAATAGTAAATTGGCAGTATTTCAGTATTGTGCGATTCATGTTTTTTTGTTGTTGTAATTTTCATAATTTACGTTTTGAATTACATTATAGAATCATAATCTTCAAAAAAATTTTAACCTTAAAAAGTTTGAAAAAGTGACTTTTGTTAACATTATTAATAGTTTAAAGTGCTATTTTGTCTGAGTTGGTGTTGTATATTACACTACAAAAAGCTTGTAATAAACTTTCAGAATATATTCTGTTATTTTACAGACTTAATTTTCTGTGTATTATTTCTGATACATTATATTATTAATTACGATTTATATTATTAACTATTATATTATTGACTACTAAAATGTCAATAAAAGTCACTTTGTTAAACTGTAGAGTTGAATTTTCAAAATGAAAATTTGGACAGAGCAGAGATCAAGGTCCCTAGGTCCCAGCTCTGCATAAGAAGTTTGGCCAGAGGAGAAATGGTCGTGCTGAACTGAGCCTGGCTTCTCTTAAGGATTTTCTCCTTCACTTTTGTCAATTGCTTAAGTTTCTTCCTCACCACTGGTTTGCTTGGTTTGGGATTTGTGGAGCTGAGGGATTTGCTCTTCAGTGTTTGGACTTCCAGCAGTGAAATTTAAACCACCTTGAACTGAAGTTAAACTCTGAAAACTGGACTAACACATTTTCAATTTACTAGAATTCCAATGTAATAGGACTTCTATGTTAAGCTGCTTTGACACAATCTACATTGTAAAAGCGCTTACATAAAAATTAATTGAGTTGAATAATGCAATTCACAATCGTAAATAAATAGAAAACACAAAATTCACAAAAAACTAAAATTGTAAGTTTACATACACTCACCTGCCACTTTATTAGGTATAACTCTCTAACTGCTCGTCAACGCAAATTTCTAATCAGCCAATCACATGGCAGGCATGCGATGCATTTAGGCATATAGACATGGTCAAGACGATCTGCTGCAGTTCAAATCGAGCTTCAGAATGGGGAGGAAAGGGGAATTAAGTAACTTTGAATTTGGCATGGTTGTTGGTGCCAGACAGGCTGGCCTGAGTATTTCAGAAACTGCTGATCTACTGGAATATTCATGCACAACAATTTCTAGGGCAGGGATGTCAAACTCAATTCCTGGAGGGCCGCAGCCCTGCACAGTTTAGTTCCAACCCTAATTAAACACACCTGTTCAATCTAATTGAGTCCTTCAGGCTTGTTTGAAACCACCAGGTAAGTGTTTTGAAGCAGGGTTGGAACTAAACTGTGCAGGGCTGCGCCCCTCCAGGAATTGAGTTCGACAACTCTGCTCTAGGGTTTACAGAGAATGGTGCCAAAAAGAGAAAATATCCAGTGAACGGCAGTTTTGATGCCAGAGGTCAGAGAGGAGTGGCCAGACTGATAGGAGCTGAAAGAAAGGCAGCAGTAACTCAAATAACTACTCGTTACAACCGAGGTATGCAGAAGAGCATCTCTAAAAGCACATGTCGAACCTTGAGGCAGATGGGCTACAGCAGCAGAAGACCACATCAGGCGCCACCCCTGTCAGCTAAGAACAGGAAACTGAGACAACAATTTGCACAGACTCACTAAAATTAGACAATAGAAGACTGGAAAATTTTTGTCTGGTCTGATGAGTCTCCATTTCTTCTCAGACATTCGGATGGTAGGGTCAGAATTTGGCATCAACAACATGAAAGCATGGATCCTTCCAGCCTTGAATCAACAGTTCAGGCTGGTGGTGGTGGTGTAATGGTGTAAGGCAGGGGTTTTCAAAGTGTGAGGCGCGCCTCCCCTGGGGGGCGCCAGAGCATGTCAGGGGAGGCGCGGAAAAAAATATAATATAATAAAAATATAATTATTAAGTTTAATTATTATATGTATTTTTTATTATATTTAAACGTTTTAATTAAACAAAGCAAAAAAAAAATAATACGTCAAATATAAGAAACCCTTTTTTACCCAGAAGGCCATAGCTGTGAATTCGCTTCTGTTTGGCAAGCCCGCCAATACAGGTATATGCCTGCTAATACAATGGGTCGGTTTCTGAGACCCCCCGATTCAAAGCTGTAATGAAGTTCACGGTCCTTTGGCCGCCGGGAAGAAGGAGGCGGAGAACCGACGCAGTTTTAAAATGATTTATTAATAACAGCTAAACCAAAACAAACGGACGGCAGCTCCTCACGGAGACTGCCGTCAAACTGAAAGCAAAAGTAAAATATGTCCGGGCCCAGTCCTCTCTCGGCTTCCTCTGCCCTCGTTCCTCCTTTTATGATCCAGAGCTCCTTCCGTGGGATCCGAGGCAGGTGCGCACCGCAGGTGTATCCACTTACGCGGTGGCCTTACTCCGTTCCCACGGCTCTCGGCCACGCCCCCTCGCCACAAAAGCCTTCAAGTTCAGGGCTTAAACCCAAAAGACGACGATATGATGATCAGTATTTGAGTTTAGGATTTACGTGGACAGGACCAGCTGATGAACCACGACCTTTATGTGTGGTTTGTCAAGATATTTTGGCTAATGACAGCATGTGACCCACTAAACTTCAACTGTTTTGACTAGGGTGGACAGTTCTTGGATCTGTTCTATTCATATTGAACCATCATCCTAGTTTTAAAACCTTAAATTAAAATACTTGTTATTACTCTGTAAATAATTGCACTTTCAAGCAAATGATGATAAAAGTGAGTTAACAGTCTGACATCTGTCTGTGTCTTTATATATATATATATATATATATATATATATATATATATATATATATATATATATATATATATATATATATATATATATATATTTAAACGTTTTAATTAAACAAAGCAAAAAAAAAATAATACGTCAAATATAAGAAACCCTTTTTTACCCAGAAGGCCATAGCTGTGAATTCGCTTCTGTTTGGTAAGCCCGCCAATACAGGTATATGCCTGCTAATACAATGGGTCGGTTTCTGAGACCCCCCCGATTCAAAGCTGTAATGAAGTTCACGGCCCTTTGGCCGCCGGGAAGAAGGAGGCGGAGAACCGACGCAGTTTTAAAATGATTTATTAATAACAGTGACGGCAGCTCCTCACGGAGACTACCGTCTAAACCAAAACAATCATCCTAGTTTTAAAAACGTTATATTAAAATACTTGTTATTACTCTGTAAATAATTGCACTTTCATGCAAATGATGATAAAAGTGAGTTAACAGTCTGACATCTGTCTGTGTCTTTATATATATATATATATATATATATATATATATATATATATATGTATATGTGTGTGTGTGTGTGTGTGTGTGTGTGTGCGTGTGTGTGTGTGTGTGTGCGTGCGTGCGTGTTTGGGAGGAGGGGGGCGCCAATGGATAAGTTGTGTTAAAAGGGAGGCCCACTGTCTTAGACTTTGAAAAACCCTGGTGTAAGGGA